GGGGGGCTCACACCGCGGAGGGGGTGTCACACAGCTGGGGGGGACCTGGCCTAGGTGGGGGAACACGTCTGGGGGGAGGTCATACGGCCCGGGGGGGACATACGGGGGTGTCATACGGCCGGGGGGGTCACATGGCGGGGGGGACATACGGGGGTGTCACACAGCTGGGGGGGGACCCGGCCTAGGTGGGGGAACACATCCGGGGGGAGGTCATATGGCCCGGGGGGGACATACGGGGGTGTCATACGGCCGGGGGGGTCACACGGTGGGGGGCAGGCTCAGCCGGGTGTGCTGATTCTGGGTGCCTGTGCAGCTCCGAGTGATCTTTCCCCATGGCTGAATCAGGGTATCAGGGTATCTAAAGTCCGCCAGGCAGATGGAAAGCGAAGGTGAAGTGAGTCATTCATGACCCGTGTGGCAAAGCCTCAGCCAAGGCGCTGGCCCGGCAGAGCATGGGAGGTGGCCGGAGGCCGCGAGCTCTCTGGCCACAGGGTGAGCCCGGGGCGCGGGCAGGGCCTGCCCGCCCCACAGCCCCGCAGAGCCCGTGACCCCCGGAGCTCAGGCTACTGTTCCCTGCTGGAGAAGTCGGGCTCCTCTCACAAACTCGCAAACCGCGCCCTGACCTAGTGAGCCCTCGGCCGGCCCTGGTGACGCAAGCCGAGGTCACCACCCTGGGTGACGGATGAAACTGAGAGCTGGAGCAGAAGCTCGAGCCTGGTTTCGCCTGACCCCAAACGCGCCCGCTGAGCGGCCCGTGTGGAAACGCGAGTGAGCGAGTCTCCCCAGCTCGGCTTGCCGGAGGGGACGCCTCCTGGAGGATCTGCAATGGGAGCAGCTTCTGCGGGGGGGGGACTTCCCCGAGCCCCAGATCTCATGGGGCGACCAGGACCTGCAATAGTCACTTTACTTATTTTTTAACGGATTTATTTACGTAAGCATCCAAGAGCTGGGGTGCAGGCCACAGGCGCAGGGGGTGAGAGGACGCCCCAGAGAGAGCGGGGAGCAGCCCCACCGAAATCCACTGTGGCACAGGGGTTGCAGCGCAGCTCTGTGAAGCTGCCCACCGCCCCTGCGGCTGAGTTCGGTGCCGGCCAGGAGGGGCCCCAGGGGCAGCAGACCCGCCTGCCTCCCCGCTTAATCTGCTGTGCTGCTCCACACGCTGTCTGGGACATCGGAGGACCAAGTCGGGCGGGGTTAATCACAGGAAAATGAAGCCGGTTCAACACTTAAACATCACCCACCACACAGAGCCCGAGGGAACCGCAGGGTCCTCTCAGACGCGGGGACAGCGCTCGCAGCTGCAGCATCCCCCGGGAGGCACACTCCGCAAAATAAGCTCAGGGGGCCTCGGCACGATGGAGGGCACTTAGGAAGCCCACCGGGCGCAGGGGGGGCGGCAGGCGCCGGCCCTGCTGCCATGCTGCGCCCGGATGAGACGCGAGCCCAGAGCCCGAGGAAGTCGCCAAGCGGCTGCTTCCCGGCGGCGCGTCCTTGTCTCGGGACCCGGCTGGTGCCTGACGCGGCTTCTGACCACGTCCACGCGTCCGTCCCATAAAGGGTGCGGGCCGGGCGGGCGGGGGCGGGGGTCAGGTAGCGCAGGGGCTTGCCGAGAGGCTGTGGTTGCCCAGGAGCAAACGTCCTGGCCTCGGC